CTTTAGAGTCTATTTCTTTTTGGTGCGATGTAAGTTCTTGCAATTTTTGGAATTTCAATGGCTTTACCCCGAGCTCAGTATTTGCCGAATGGAATATTGCGATATTTTTAGCTCACGAGCGATTTTTCGGCCACTGCGACGTGTGTATCGATCAAGTCGCTTCTTTAATTTTCGAACCATTTTTGCTGATGTTTGCTGTTTTCTTCCGTCTACTTCCGTAACGTCGGCCTACGCTACCAGTATCACAGTAACAAGCGATGGTACGAGACACAAAAGATTTTTTCACATTTTAATGCTGGAGTGATCAAACGGTAGCCACTTGTGGTTTTCCAGCCAAATATAGAGAAATCACACTATCACGCTTGAATTCCATCACGAAGAACTTTTTTCTGGAAAATTCTCACCAAAATGCTTTTATACGGTTGTAAACAATATAATGAGCTGTCACTGGAATAATTTTAACAACTTTCGTACGATTGGCTTAGAAACGACAGCAGTCTGAAGTTGGTTGCAGTTTTTTCATCTCACCCTGTAGATCCACTTTTATTTATAGCCCCCATTATACTGTACCTCCAGGTATTTTGATGAATTTAACGACATTGTTGACCGGAATTGTTTCAAATTTCATATTAGGGTCTAAACGACGACGTGGACCTGCATAGGCAACTTTTGTCATCAGCCGTTACAATATTCAAATGCCAAACTTGAAAAAGAAAATCGGTGAATAATATAGCTAAAATCATCAATATATCAAGGGGGTTATACCAAAATGTGAACCTGCACACACAATTTTCTGCCTTAGACTGCAGTATCGAATTACGAACTTCAAATCCCAAATTTGAAATAATTCCGGTTAATAATGTCGCTAAAATCATCAGAATACCCAATGTAGGGAGGTACCGTTATATCTGGGCTCTAAGAAGACATGGACCTGTACGGACAATTTTCTGTTATAGGCTGTAGTATTTATTACGAACTTCAAATACCAAATTCGAAACAATTTTGGTGAATAATGTCGCTAATATCAAAATACCGAATATCGGGAGGTAGCATTATATTGGGGCTATACGAAGACGTGGACCTGCAAAGACAATTTATTGTCTTAGGCTGTAGTATCCATTACAAACTTCAAATACCAAATTTGAAACAATTCCAGTGATTAATGTCGCTAGAATCATCAAAATACCGAATATCGGGAGGTACCCTTATATGGTTATACGAAGACATGGACCTGCACAGACAATCTCCTGTCATATGCTGTAGTATCCATTACGAACTTTAAATACTAAATTTGAAACTATTGGGGTGAATAATGTCGCTAAAATCATCAAAATACCGAATATCGGGAGGTACCGTTATATGGGGGCTATATCAAGATGTGGACCTACATGGCCCATTTTCAATACCAAAAGTTCTGCAGACATAATATACATTTGAGTAAAATTTTATCAATCTACTTCATTTCGTTCAGAAGCTGGAGCGATTACCACAGACGGACAGACAGATAGACTGAAAGGCGGACGGACATCGCTAAATCGACATAGAATTTTATGCTGATAAAGAATATATATACTTTGTGGGGTCTAAAATGTATATTTCGAGGTGTTACAAACAGAATGACAAACTTAACTTAATTCCATACTATGGTGGAGGGTGTAATAAAAAGGGTTAAACGGTTATATGAGGACTACACCGATTAGTGGGCCTTAATCGAACACAGGAGAGGACAGATCTTTTAGAAATCCCAAATGTCAAATTTCACCTGATTTGGTTGGATATTATGGCAAAAACCTTCAAAATGTCGAAAATCGAGAGATACCGTTATATGGGGCCCATATCAAGTAGTGGAGCAGAATCCAACATTTTTGCACGGAGAGAAAAGACCTACCGAAAATCCCAGTTGTTAAGTTTCAACACAATCAAAATACGGCAAATTGGGAGGTACCGTTTTATGGAGGCTATACCAATCAGTGGACCTGTAGCGAATAAATTTATTGCAATTAGAGAACATATCTACCAAAAACTCCAAAAATTTAAAGTTTTAGATTATTTGGATGGAACTTGTGGCAGAAACCCTCAATATATTAACAAATTTAAAAGCTGTAACTTGAATATCCTCCACCATTGGAAACGAATTTGGCAATTTTCAAAAAATAAAAACCGTTAAAAATACGACGACGTGGACCTGCATAGGCAACTTTTATCATAATATTCAAATGCGAAACTTGAAACTTAATCGGTGGTTAATATAGCTAAAATCATCAACATACCGGATATAGGGAGGTACCATTATATGGGGCCATACCAAAACGGGGACCTCCACTGTAATATCCATGACGAACTTCAAATAGCAAATTTGAAACAATTCAGGTGAATAATTTCGCTAAAATTATCAAAATACCAGATATAGGGAGGCATAATTATATGGGGGCCATACCAAAACGGGGACCTCCACAGACAATTTTCTGTCATAGGCTGTAGTATCCATGACGAATTTCAAATCCCAAATTTGAAACAATTCCGCTGAATAATGTCGCTAAATCATCGAAATACCGAAAGTCGGGAGGTACCGTTATATGGCGACACTTTTTCAATACCAACCATCCTAGACATAATACAAATTGTTCTGCAAAATTTTGAAGTTCTACGTTTAATAATGTGGGCTGACGGACATTGCTAAATCGACATAGAATTTTATGTTGATCAAGAATATATACATTGTGTGGGGTCTAAAATGTATATTTCGAGGTGTTACAAACGAAATGACAAACTTAATATACTTAACTTATCTTAATATATCCTCCATTCTACGGTGGAGGGCATAATAAAATAAATTGTGTACATAAATTTGTTCGCAAAAATTTAGCTGGTCAAAGGTAAGATGGATTTTTGGGAATTATTAGCGCAATAGTGCAGAATATTGTACGGTTATACATACACTTGTAAATTATGAAGTACAGTTTTTAACGATTCTGACTTGTTTTGAGAAATTTGATTAAAAGGTCGTGTTTTTGGATACTAAAGATTGTAGAAATTTGGAAAATAGACACTAAAAGCACTAAATTTGGTACTACTTGATATTATGTGAACGGATATTTTGGTACAACCTTGACATTTGGTATGAAAAATAAATTTTGGAGGAGGTATTTAACGTTTACGAAAAGTATTAAATTGTACTAAAGTTGGTATTTTGGTGAATCAATAGGGTTTGAAATCTAAAATTTACATTGGAGTCGCCGTAAGTGTGTTGAGTTGAAATTTGTAGGTGATTTTAGAAACACGTTCTAAAAAGTACGAAAAATACTAAATGGTATCAAAATTAGCATACAGTATTAGGATCACTGCTAGAGAGTATTGTGATCACAGTGAGAATATTAGGATGACTGTAGTGTGTATAGATATGGAGTTGGATTTGCAAATTTCGTACTACAGGGTTGCCCATATTCGACAGACCCATCTGGCAACGCCATAACTTTTGACAGAGATGTCACATCGCTTAATGACATACCGCGTTTGAAGCGTCAGTCCAAGCAGATTTTTACCATGAACCAATACACGCCACGCGAGCGCTCTGAAATAGTTGAAATTTACATTCAACAGAAGAAGTGAATTGTGAAAACTCAACGTGCTTTTAAAACATTAAAAAATGTGAGAAGTGCGCCTTCTAAGAACACCATTAAGCGTTTATACGAAAAATTTTCGACTGGTAAGGCTCTTTCTAATCCGAAGTCGACCAAGGCGATCGGCCGAGAATATTGCTGCCGTACGAGCCAGTGTTGAGAGGTCCCCAAGAACATCCCAAAAACGCCGTTCTCAGCAGTTGGGCATGGCTCGGTCCACTTTACAATGGATTATTCGCATTGATTTGCATTTGTTCCCGTACAAAATTCAATTGACGCAAAGAATGTTGCCTGCGGACAAGCCTCGTCGATTGGAATGGGCCCAAGGGGCCTAAGGTCCCTGTATATATAGTGTATATATATGGAGTTTAACTTAACTGATTTCTTCAGAATTTATGTTTTTCGAACTGTGATGGATTTAAAAAGCCCGCCCAGCCGATCTGACTCTGTTTTTAATTGTTTAAGACAATTTTTTTTATTGAAATTCACGGAAGAAATATGGAGTCTGATGCTATTATGATGCTTGCCTTTTATATGTATAAGGACACAGACTGTATTTTATACTTGTTCTTATTTTAATTTTTTTTATTGATCTCTAAATCAGGATAGACTTTAAAAATTGTTATTCGTTAATCAAATCAAAATCAAACTGTTTTACGTTTCTTAGAATCTCAATTGGAACCCATCCTATTCGTGGCATCTAAGCATGTATGTTATCTTGGCAATTTAAATTATCCACAGAACTGTCATTCCTTTACATCTGCTTTAAATTACTTCGTTTTATTTTGTTCAACAAACAAATGTTCTTAACAATAAACTTGGTATCCCAGAGCGGGAATAGCAAATGAATAAATAAAATGTTTACACTGGCACCTACACACAGACCTCCCCCATTCCATACACACAAATACACCTCATACGCCTTCTTCGCTCTACTCTGGTATATTGACATTTTTATCTCAAACAATTCTACAGCGTGAATGCAAGGCAAACTTCAATGAACGAGCATTCAACTCCCTCCTTGTCCTTGTGTTGTTTGTTTTTTTTTTTTTTTCAACTTTTTCTTCCACACTGTGATGATCCAGGCAAAAGTAATTCAAACTTCCAACACATATTGGGAGGATACCATTTTGTTGATACGCTGCTGCTGCTGCTGCTAGGTGTTGGATATATCCATAGCAATGAATTTGCAAGTATATGGATTATCTTTCGATTTCTTCACTCTTCTTTGGCGTATTCCGTCTCCTTTTTTTCAACATTTTATTCACATTTCATTCAATATCTTGTTATTTTATATATATATGTTAAATTGTGTCTTTTTTTTTCAATTTCTATTTTCGCCATTCACTCCTTTTGTTCATTTCATTTCGATTCGCTTACCTGACAACAGCATCCGATTGACTTATAAATTTATATCTTATGCTAAATTCAAACGGTTTGTCTTCTTGTATATTTCGGGGTGGATGGAACACCTGTAAGGATAAGAACAAAACACAGAGAGTGATAGAAACAAGTTCGGCAAAGTATAATAAATGTAGAGAAAAAAAGAAGAATTTTGCCATGAATTTTGTTCAATAGATTTGTGTAAAGATAACAAGAAAAAGAATGTGCAACGTCAGTTGCCTTGTCTGTCTCTCTGTCTACCTGCCTTGAACTGCAGAAATAAAACTTGTCAACTTGGCAAAAACCAAATGTTCAATTTTTTCTTTTCGTTTCATCTTCTCCCTCGTGAACATCTGTATTTTGCATTGCTTTTGCATTTCACAGCAGCTAAACTTGAAAAGAATTTTCAGCAGAAGATTAAACCAAGAACAATAACAACACAAAAAATGCATAAATAATATTTTTGTGCCATGTAATTTATTAGGGAGCCTTGTGGAGGGATGGGTATCGTAAATAAAGTTTTGGCCAACTACACCATTTCCAACGGAAAACAGTAAAAAAGGACAAAAGATCGACTTTTGATACCCTACACCAGTATGCATATTTGGAAACAAATAGATCATGAAGTATCATAACAACTATGAACTATTGGGCAAGAATTTGGAATCATAGGGATCTACTATATATGAGGCATATCCAACACAGAATCGTCTTACCAAACAACATTGTTATGGAGTGTATTATATGACTTCGAGAAGGATTATATAAAAAAATATAAATCGGCTGAATCTGCAAAGATCAAGTTAAAAAGCAGTAAGTTCGGCCGGCCCTCCACCATTTTTTACGAATTTAGAAATTTTCAAAAGTCCTTAAAAAATTCTGTTAAAATTTTAAAAATACCGAATATAGCCGTTATATTGGGGTCTATACGACGTGGATCTACACAGGCCTTGTTTGTCATAAGCCATTACCATATTCAAATTCGAAACTTGAAATAAGCGGTGAATAATGTAGCTATAATCATCAAAATATCGTATATAGGGAGGTACCGCTATACCGGAGCTGTGCAAAGACCTAGACAAGCATAGACAATTTTCTGTCACAGGCACAGGGGGCTTTACGAAGACGTGGACCTGCACAGACAATTCTTTGTAATAGGCTGTAGTATCCATTACGAATATCGGGAGGTACCGTTGTATGGGGGCTATACGAAGACGTGGACCTGCACAGATAATTTTCTGTCATAGGCTGTAGTATCCATTTCGAACTTCAAGTACCAAAGTTGAAACAATTGCGATGAATAATGTCGCTAAAATCATCAAAATACCGAATACCGGGAGGTACTTATATATGGGGGCTATAGGAAAACGTGGACCTACATGGCCCAGTTACGAACTTAACCTGCCTACTGGAAAATTTTAGCCTTAATATATATATATATATATATTAATATACCCTCAATAGTATGGTGGAGGGTATAAAAATCGAATGAAGTTATACATGGAAGCTTTATCCAAATCTGCACCGATTACGATAAAATTAGGCAGAGGTATTTTTGACCTGAATCTGATATCTGGTACCTCATATCAATATGACCTCATATCATTAAATGCAAAATCGGATGCAAAATATACATGGAAGCTGTATCTGATCCAATTTTTACCAAATATTCTGTCTAGTTGCTTCTAGGCTGAATTCGGTCGAATGGGCCAAAATTCACTTAAGTTAGGCCGATATTAACCATTTCGTGCACAATAAATGTGTAATCGAAAAAATATAAATATTAGGGCTATATCCAAATCTGGAGCATATCCATAAAATTTGGCAAAAATATTCCTAAGCTGTATGAAATATTTGCTCGTACATCCGATATTATCCATTTTCGCATCTGACCTAGAACTGATATCTTTATATTTTTATGAAGTAATTTTTTTTCTTTGAATGTTTTGTTGGAGAGGTACCAGAATGAGTGGACCGACGTTGCCCATCTTCGAACTCTATCTATGTTGGCAATATTATTACGACGTTCAAAGCTTGGGCCAAAACGGATACTCCCTTCGAAAGTTATCGTGCGCAGCAGTCAGTCAGCCAGCCAGTCAGACACCCCTAAATCGAATCCATATGTCCTGAACTGGATTTGGTCCAAAGAGACCCAAGGTCTGAAACCCTTATTTCAATAGAGCACGTTTTGGCCGTATCAAATGATATATACTCTCTGAAGCCATGTGGTTGAGGGAATAATAAGGGTCCAAATTATAGCTTCTCAGCTCCTATTGTTCTGGCGTTAACTCTAACCTGCATCGATAGATTGTTGTAATAAATCTATATAAGATAAGATATAGCATGACCGGATTTCGTATGCTGAGCAGCGTTTCTGCACCTTTGCATCAATTGGCACCCAATACAAATTGAGACTACCCTGGTTTAGACTTGCAGTCAATGTATTTTTTGAATTATTGTGATAATTTACTACACCTCCCCTCACCCCGCTCTGACCAGTGGACCAGTGGGCATGAGCAGGCAAATGTTCTTCCCGTACGTCAGAATAAACATAAGCTGCAACGGAAGCTTATATTTATTCTGACTTGCTTGGGTGCTTTCGTTGGAGTCATTCATTCTATGGTGGTAGATAAATTCATTTAGGATGGTGCAATTGTCTCAATTCGCATTATGCATTGATGAAGATATGCGAAACATCAGCCCGGCGTGTGATACAGGCACGAACAATACACTACACCTCTTAATTGCCGTGCCAAGCCTACCCCACTCACTCCAGAAAATCTTTGGTTACATCCCTCGCTTTACTTTTAAACCTGGAGTTAGAACTGAATTAACAGAAATAAAATCACAAATTTACAAGCGCCTCCTAACTACGCCTGTAATTTACAAGAACCCATTTGCATGGTAAATGCTTGAGTTTTTTCAAGTTGTCCATTTTATTCACCATTCGAGTAAAAGTCGGAAATAGATATGTACAGAACCAAAATATAGTCTCTTACCAGGGCGAAAGAAGTTTTTCGAATGCCTCGGAAAAATTGACCATAAATTTGTCATTGCGTTTGCGACACCTCAAAATATTCGTCGGTGAACATATATATTCTTTATCAGGTTGATACCAAGGTAGAGTCCTCAAATGTTTTGTGTAGAACAATCAAATTCAAATGTTATTTGTCTGTTTTCGTTTAAATGTAGACCCCATTTCTCTTACGATTTTTTGATATTTTCAAGTTTGGTAAAACTTGCAAAACGCATTAGAATACCAAAAAATTAGAGGTACCGCTATTCCGGAAATATTCTTTCACAAACTCTAATGTAAAACATGTGGCTGAAATCATCAGATATGTGGGCTACAGGAAAACGTATACCAAAAGTGACCTATTTACGAGCATTAGCTGTCAAAAGATAAAAAGACACTTGTTAACTTCTACCGCAAATTGTTGGAGGGGGTAATATTAGTATTTCGAGGAGTAACAAATGGAATGACAACGTTAATATACCCTTCATAGTCATAACCTTAAACCGGATTGGAATCCATAATTTGGGCCAGCAGAGCAAGAAAACCGAATAAAAAATTATTAAGAATTCAAAACTTCCAAAATAGTTCATAACAAATGTGATATCGCGACCTTTACTCCATTTCATTTGTTTTTTTTTTCACCGAAATTCTAATAAAAATCGTGCATCGAAAATCCCTGTGTTTTCGTTTGGCAATGGTGTCCACACAGCTTGCAAATATGAATTTGAAGTCAAATCCTTTGCCTCATCATGCCATGGAAACAAATAAAATATGCAATTCATATGAATTGTTAGTTTTCAATAACAAATGTTGCAGAAAGATAAGAGAGAAAGTGCAATTTATGTAATTTTAATAAATTCTGCATTTCAAGTTTATTTCGTTTTTGAGTTTATCTTGCTGTTTTTTCGGTTTTGTTGTTGTTGTTTTCGTTTTATTCTATCTGCTCCGCATTGCATTCGGAGAAAATAGTTAGTTACATCCTTCCGTATTCGTTTATTGGATGCTCTAGAATATGTGCATTTGGAGTTTTATTTTTCAAAATTGAATTTGATGTAGCAAGGGGCGTATAAGGTAAAGGAGGTTGGTATCTGTAACAAAACCAGGTGTCCTGAAATGTAAATAATGTGCAAAGCTTCACACATTTCTTGAGACAAATGCGTGGGAAAAGGGATATTGTAAAATCTGTCAAAATTCAAAGGTTGGAGAATGGAGTATTGAATTACACTTTTCGATATGATTTGCAAGTGTTTAAAGTGTAACGAAGGGGAAAAATCACTCGAAACCGGCCATAGGGCCAATTGAATTCAAAATTGGATAGAGCAATTTGAAATCGGATGAAGCATGCATGAAGTAGCTATATTCTTATCTGAATCGATTTTCACAAGAATTTTTACATAATTATTTCTAGGCTTTGTGAGGGCTCCCGATCTAATCTCGTCGAAATCTAAAATATCGATCTAAAATAATTCTTATTTGGAAAAAATAAGCATTGTAGGTGCATCATTAGTATAAAGTAGAGGGAAATTATTTTAATTTGAAGTCGGATGGAGCAATTTGAAATCGAATGGACCATATATGAGGTAGGTATATCATTATCTCAATTTTCGCCAGATTTTTTTCCTAAACATTTCTAGGCTGTGTGGGCTCTCGTTCTAAATATTATTCATTCTAGTCGAAACCTAAAATATTGATCATTAATATAGATAGAGGTAATTATATATTTGGGCGCCATATTAAATTCTGAACCGCAAAGTTATGTTGGTGGTTGCGATTAAGCGAAATATTTTAATTGGCATCACCGTCATATACCGCGTATCTCCCAGAATTATGTCTTTGTGCATTTGTTTGTAATACGGAGAAGGATGCACCCATAGATACTTTTGATGATCTTACGCATGTCAGTCGTCTGCCCTTGTATTTTTGTGAACAAAATGCAAGTCGCATCTATTTTCCGATTGAAATGAAATTTTCTTAACAATATTGGGTTGGTCCCTGGACGAACCCAATTGAAATTGGTGAGTATCGGTTCAAATTTAGATATAGCTCCCATATACATCTTAAAACTATTTCGGA